CTGCATCCTAGCGGTGATGTCTTTAAAAGCACTGGTAGCCCAAAAGTTGTGTACTTATACTTAAGTCAGTCTCACAACAGTCATAATTTCAAAGTATACTAATTATTAATCTGATGGTAGGTAATCATTCCCTCATCTTCCCCATCCCCCACTCCATCGAGTCTTCAGTCCGCTCTGTTAGGAAGAGTGTTTTCTTTTTTCTTTCTGTAATGAAACATTTTAGAGAAAGATTTTACCTCTCTCATGGAATCTTCCTCCTCAGAACATCCATGTACTGGGAAAAGAGTAGATATAATAACTTTTTTGATTACCCTGCAATTAAGAAAGAATAGAAATACAGTTTTGTTTATGCAGAAAACTTTTTTACTGTACCATATGGTTTGGTGCTAGGAAAAAATGATGAGTATGACATGGTCCCTCTCGTCTGGAGTCTAAAGGAAATTGCCAATGTTCTCCTCTTTAATATAAAGGGAGTATAATAATATTGAGGTAAATATATATTTCTTTTTTAGAGATATATAACATATGTTCATAAAGACATCAAGGCTAGAATATAAAGGTTTTTAAGAGGAGGGTTTTTATGCTACATAAAAGGACAGATATACATTGTTTCGAGTGTCTGGCCTTCAGGGATGGATCTAATTTTGTTGCTGAGTTCTGTCACCTACTCTCTTTTCAGTGATTTTATTTTGCCAGAGATGTTGCCATTATACTAAGCCTAGAGGTAGTAGTAAACCGTTTCCAAGACTTTTTGCTACTTTAGAATTCCTTAGGACCTAGTGATAGCAGCTGTAAAATGCAATCATAATAAGAAACAAATATCCCAAACCTTAGTAGCCTAGAGGTAGTAGTAAACCGTTTCCAAGACTTTTTGCTACTTTAGAATTCCTTAGGACCAAGTGATAGCAGCTGTAAAATGCAATCATAATAAGAAACAAATATCCCAAACCTTAGGTCTTCTTTAAACCTTGGAAGCTTGTTTCAAGGAGTGACTCAAAAGTATTACTTTCTGGGTATTTGCTCGCCGTAGATTAGGTACTGTGTTAGCCCCTTATAAATATTTTGTTAATCTCAAAGCAACCCTATATTGAAATGGCACTGCAGTATTTTATAGTTGAAGAAACTGAGACTCAGGTTAAATAACTAGCAGAAAGGTTCTGTAGCTTATATGTGGCAGAGACAGGTTTGCAGCCTAGAGCCAACCCCTTGAATACTCTGGGTCAGTTTATAACTTAGCATTAAAATGACCCTGTATTTATTGATTAAAACTTTTGACCCCAGTTATTGTATTGTAAGGTTTTGCGTATTTCCAAAGCACGTGACTTAACTTTCATAGAAACAACTTTATTTATGAACATTTGTTTTATTGATTTATTAATGTTTTATTAGGTTATGTAATAACAATAGTTATTATTGCCTGGAACAAATAAAATTGGCCCCAGGTAAGCGTACTGTTTGACTGTTAAGAGTAAATGTGCTGCAGCATGGCCTGGGATCTGTCATAGGCATCAGAAGTAATGGAGCATGTAGATTAACAGGAAGTCAAGGAGCACTTCCACTCTTCTTATCACAGAACTTCAAAACAATTTTGGGAATTGTAATGGAGAAACACCGTCCTTAAAAATAGTAATTTGGAAGGTTAATACTTTACAAATAAAACCTTTGCATGTGTGTATAAGTTAAAGAATGTAAAAAAATAACTCAAAATCAATTTTCTCTTCCATACTGGTTTGTTCCAGGCATCACAAATCATTTCATGCCATGTACTCATTCTTTACTCCATGTTCCTTCTACCCAGTCTCATGGCTTTTTCTACTCTTTCAATTCCCAATCTGTATTTCTGGTCCAAATATCTCTCTTGTGCTCCAAACTAGTATATCCAACCTAGTGTTCCATAGATAGTTCAAAATCTGTGTGCCTCAGGAAAATGATGTCCATGACTCCCAGTACCTTTTTCCATCAGCTACTCAGATTCCCCCAACCAAAAAACTCCAAAAGGAGTCCTCCTTTACCCCTTTTATTAGTTAGCTTGGGCTGCATAACAAAATGCCACGTATTAGGTGGCTTAAACAATAGAGTTTCTCACAGTTTTGCAGACTGGAATTCCCAGAATAGGGTGCCAGCCAGGTTGGTGTCTGGTGAGGGCTCTCCCCTGGGGTTGTGCAGATGGCCGTCTTCTTGCTTGTGCTCACATGGCTTTTGTTTGGTGCGTGCATGGGAGGAGAGTGAGAGAAGACAGCATGAGCAAGCTCTCTTGTTTCTCTTTTTATAAAGACACTAGTCATGTTAGATCAGACCCCTCTCTCATGACCTCACTTAACCATAATTACTTCCTTAGAGGCTCTACCTCCAAATACAGGCATGGGGATTAGGGCTTCAGCATATGAGTTTTGGAGCGGGGAGATCACAAATATTTAGTCCTTAACACTCCTCTTACTCATTACCTGCATCCAGTCAGTCTAAAAGTTGTATCTCTTAAAGCTCCTTAATAATTATATCCCGGAGTTTCTCAGCTGTGGCACTACTGACATTTTGGCTGGATCATTCTTTTGGGGGGTTGGGGGGGGCAGACAGGGGATCTGTACTGTACATTGTAGGATGGTTAACAGCATCCCTCGTCCCTACCTACTAGATTCCTGTAGTACGTCCCAGTTGTGACAACCAAAAATGTCTTTAGACATTAGAAAATGTCCTGTGGGGGTGCAAAATCATCCCGTTGAGAAGCATTGCTCTAACTTCATCATTGCTTGCCTGTACTGTGGTATTTCCTTAAGGGTATTTCAACTTGTCTTTAACCCTCCACAATCCTTTTAGTTCTACATATTATCACCAGATGATCTTCCCAACATGCAAATCTGTTCCTGTCAGACTCCCTGAATAAAATTGTAACTTTCTTTTTTTTTTTTTTTTGTCTTTTTTCCGTGTCCGGCAATGGATCGCAACCCTCAGT